ATCTCTAGCAGCTCCTGTCACTCGTACGCCCTGAGGAGCTGGCCGAAACTAACCTCAACTTTTTTCACCTCTGACATTTAAAAGTCAGCCTTTTCTCCAACTATAAATGTTTTGGTATATTACAAGAACAGGAACCAGTATAACATTTTACCCTCCTCCTTAGGCCTTAATATTTTTGTAAAAGAGGTGAGGCAAACAAGATTGGCATATACAGATATATTTTCTGTATCCATGATGTACTGTTACAGTTCCAAAAACATTAATGATAGGGTCACAATGGTGAGACTATTTTTGGCTGGCACTATACTTCAGAATTGTAAAACAGCATGAAAACTCACTGATGGCTGGGAAATGCCTGTGCAGTTGGAATACTATCCAAGTCCTGATACCTAAACCATAACATAGTCTGGTGATATATATGCAATTTGAGATACCAATTTGATGAATACACATAACCTGAATCCTTCCAAGAAATAATGTGACTGTATTGTATACTATAACGTGGGCTCTGGAGATTTGCATGCTATGATGATGCATCTAAGTTTCAAGAAACATACACAAATAAGCTTCCCAAGGGTACCAAAAGTCTTCATTATTTCTTCACAGAATTCCTGCGGTGTTAAGATCACTGTGTTTTCTGTGGCCTAGCTGGACAGGTACGTTGGTGTTATCCACTCTCGTACAGAAGACACGTCAACTCAGACAAACTTTTCATGAAGCTGTGGACCTCAGGCATATTTTTTATTTATAGTTTTAAATGAGCTTGAAGCTAGTTTACAAAATCTACTAGATTGGCATCATTCCTGTGGAACATGGTAAGTTTTCACTAACCTGGAATCAAAAAGATTATAAAGAGTAAACCCTGATCCTAGTAGTGATCAAAAATGTTGCAACCTGGAATCTGAAGTAATACTAACAGAAGAACCAAAAAGAGCACCTTGAAGGTTGAAAGCCTGTCTTGTGGTTCTAATGAGGATATTATGACAAACGGTTTTATGACCAAGAACGCAAATGGAGAGACCTCTTGAGACAAAGGGGCTCAAAATAAGCTGATACTCCCCTTTTGTCTTTGGAGTAGGAATGAAATGCCTAAACCCTGATTACTAAGGTTATATTTTCCACTCTTCTGTCATCTCAGTGAACGTTCAGATGTTGCTTCAACAATATCTTGTCATGAAGGCATGGATGGAAAAGTAATGCAAGAGTACAAATTCACTGAAACTGTCTTTAATATTTACAGCTCATACCTTCTTGCTCTCGTTAGACCTGGGGATTCCAAGTCATTTTTCCTGAAATAAAGACTGTCACTAGAAGTTGCGTAGGGGTCATCTGGTGTCGTAACCTATGGTTCTTCCTTTGTACTTCACACAACCGATTTGTGTAGTGCAAAAAATCATCACCTGCTTCTTCCTTCAGACTGGAATACATAAGCTCACTGAAAATACAGAGGAGCTCCAAAATTCTTCATGAGCACAGAGTTTCATTAGCCTTTCAGCTGAAGGGGTACTGATCTTTAAAAGAAGTATCTTTTCTGATTTGAACTCCAACCCTGAAAATTCTCTTCATCAGCCACAGTCTTAAGGGATGTGCCCAAACATCCAAAAGCGTGTGCAGGCACATGGCATACAAGGTGGCATGATACATAGAGATTTTGGCTGTCAGCTGCCTCTCACCATATAGATTTTACTTCTTCCCACTGCTCTGTTAGGAGTCTTTTTATAAATAGGCTATCTGTTTAATATTATTAAAGTTAGCCTTACCTTGACAGAAGCACATGGTAAGTGTCAACACACATTTAGAGAATGTCAGAGAAGTAGATCTTGCCAAACAAATTCTGGTTTACTGTCCTTTTATTATTTTTTTTTAATTTTTAAGTGATCCTTTTTGCTTTAATCTTTGCCAAATAGTAGCCATAAGATGCTGACACAGTGCAAAGAAAGCCCTAGAAAGAACGATGTTGTCTCTAAAGGGCCAAAAAATGATGCTGCAGTTCTATTACAAAAAAATTCCTTGTTAAATGGTATTCTGAGCCTACCAGGCAAAAAAAAAATAGTACAGAACATTTAACACACCATTTGGCTTTCTGGCCACAGTTTCCAGGAGGAAATGATGAATCTCAACTTCATGCATTTTTTTCAGGTTTTGAAATGCCCTGAAGCCATCCTCTGGACTATCTTATGATCTAGCAAGCCTTCTCAGACAAATAAATCACTCTAGAATTAATTATTCCTCCATCTCTGCCTGCTGATCCTTCTCTTCCTTGTGAAAAAAAGATCTAACAGAAGGAGGCAACAATCAGAACAGCAGAAGATATTGCGTATGAATGCATATCCTGAGCTGGCCAGGACTGACAAGCATATAATAATGAAGTCATAGGTAGACAGAGAAAAAAAAGTACTGAAATATGTTACCTTTCAGTCCTCCACCATTTCCCACTGAAATGGTAGTGTCAGGACTCTCCCAGATTCTTGATGTGAAACTCCTTAACAGAAATGGAGATGGAGTGCATGAAAGACTGTGCGCCAGTAAAGATGCACAGCAATAAGACCATGAATTTTAATTTGCCATTAAGGTCTTGTATATAGATAGAAAACAGATGACACCAATGCACTGCATTTGACATCATGTTGTCAGTAACTGAATGTCTTATCAGCACAGTCAACATTGTAAGAACTTGGATCCTGGACCCATTGTACTGGCTATACTATGAAGCCAAAAGGAATGACACTGATCTAAAAGATGAAAACGTGCATACCAAAACCAAATCAGTTAACAGGCTTAAGCAGTATTGCAGACTCTTCTTATAATTTCTATCAAAGCACCGAAATAGCTGTCTTAGACTAGCAGGTACATTCTTCTTATGCAGCTTAAGTAACTTTCCTTAACATATGAGGGAAATCTAGGTTTCACTTCTGAAACAGGAGGAAGAGAATTTCTTACAGGGAACAGAATCTACATGAGGACCTCAAACAAGCCTGGACTGTATGGAACCATTAACATTCATTGCTTACTATAGCAAAAGGTACATGCAGTTACAGGGAAGTGTAGTGCAACATAGTTTTTTCATATCTGATTCACATCTTTCATTATGGACAACTAAAATTTGAATCACTAAAATACTTCATAAAAAAATTAAAACATAAAAAATTAAGTTATAAAAAAAAATATCCAGAAAAAAAAAAGCACTGTCTTTTTTTCCAACTTGATTTCTAATCACTTCAGCTCTAACGGTAATATTTTTTGAACAAAAATATTAGAATACTCCTACATAGCCAGAAAATTATTGCAGACAGTTGAAAGAATGCCAGAGTTCCATATCTTACAGGAAAAAAAAAAAGTCTAGACTTTGTCCCCTGTTGGTCGGATTCTGTCTTTGTGGGTAACAAGACTATATTTTAGTATATTGGTCAGCTACCTACGACTTCATATATAAGGCTGCACACCAATACAACTTTGAAGTTGAGCATAAATTCCTGTTTTAATCTAACAGGAGCTCTCTGAATACTCCCTGCCTTCTTCTAGTTTGTCTTTTAATGACTTTTTAATAGGAAACTTACAAAGGAATGAAAATATGATTTTCCATCAACAATACTTCTTCTCATTGCTAACAATTTCTTGCAAAACACTAACTATGTACTGGAAAAGAGCAGAACATGCCTATAACTTGAGTACTGGCAATTTATTCTACCAAAGAGAAAAGTCTGCATAAAGCTTCATATCCAGCTGCCAACAAATAAATTCTCAACCAGACGTGAGTTCAATTAAACACTACTCCTCCTTCCCTGATTTCACATATCTATGTATCTTCTCTGAGAAGCAACAAGGTAAAATGTGAGTCTCTCACAATATATCCGTTATTCTTCAAACTGCAGGCATCTAGCGTATCAGAACAACTACTGCTAGGGAATAGAAGATGTACTGTTACTGGCATTACTCAAAGTAATACCAGACACCATCCACCTTGCTTAGGTTACTTTTGCGCATACAACTCTCTCTTTCCCAATCACTTTACTAATCATTGTTATGAGTATTAGGAAGAATACTGTAGTGTGAGACTACACTACCTACATGGTCAGAAAAAGAATCTGCAAGGAAGAACAAAACCTTAGTTCAATATTTCTGCCACTTATCTCGCTACAAAATGTCTCTTCCTCAATGCTGTCCCATCCTAAGTAAAACGCACTTTCTGTTTTTACCACTGCAACACATCATAACAAAATACTTCCAAAACAACAATATACATTTCAAACATAGCAGCAGCCCCTTTCCCTTTTCTGTTCTAAAAGGCAGTGAGTGATTTTTATGTCTAAAAAAAAACAGCCACAGGTTTATTCAACACGGCACTGGAATGCCTCACTCTCTACCTTCACGTTCATCCAGTTGATTACCACCTGATTCTTAGCCTGTATCACTTGAAAAAATGTTGTGACAAATAAGATTAACCCTTTTATAGGCCCACAGCACAGTTCCAGCAAAACATAACCATATCAGCACAGTAAAACTCAGCAAATCATAACCATCTCTTCTAGAAATGCCATTTCCAATTATTAGAAACTGAAAAATGACTGGGGATAAGCTGTTCATTCAAACTAGAAAAAGAATTTAAATAAAGCGTATTTTTCATGTCCACCTGCTGGCAGGTTTTCAGGATACGGCTTCCCCGGCACAGCCTGACTTCAAAGAAAAACACCAGTAAGGTAAAACAGCGGAATAAACTGAAATGTCAAATCAAAAATAGCAACAAAAATTTCACAACATTAAATAAGAAAGCAACCAGGACAAAATATAAAGCATAGGTGCTGAGAGGGAGAAGAAAAGACAACGCAGAAAGACAGACAATTCAGAAACGTATTTTGTCTCTAATGAATTTACACAATACAAATGAATGCTAATACTAGATTAGATTATTTATACAAAAGAATCATGCTATTTTTATGTTGTATTTATGCTTACCTCACCTGTTTTAATAATGATTTTTTTTTTAAATTACCCAAATTTACCAGATTCCATGGTCATCTGAAGTAATCCATCAAGAGCACTGGAAAGCAGACCTCTACTGGATACTTTTAAGTGACTCAATATGACAGGCACACATTGGTATTCCAAAAATAAGGCCTTCCCTTCATCTGTCTTCAAGTCTGTGTGAAGGGAATCAAACGCCTGAGCCAGGTAATCCACTGAAAGATATGACAATACAGGCAACAAAACTTCTATAATCATAGTTCCATTAAGCAACATGTAAACAACTATCCTGAGAGTTACTGTTGCAGATATATACTTCAAAGTTAAATGCCTGAAAACATTAAATTTTATCTTTATTTAAAGGCATCCTCTGACTGTTTTTATTCCTTAACAATTTGTTGTGAGTGGAGAAAAAGACTAACTACAACTCATATGTTGAAGAAAAATATACTTACAAATATAAAGCCTTTCTAATATTTTGCTTAAGCGGACAGAAATTACAAGCTTGCACAGTTTGAGACAATGTTGGTTTCAACATCTGGGAAACCCCTGTTAAAGGAGTCAAGGGCTGATTTGTCTAAATGAGAGCAATCACTTTCATGAGAGCAACGACTCCTATTTATTTCTACAAAAAGCTTAGTTTATGTTTCAGTGCATACATTTTATGTACTCATCCATTGTGGAGTACACTAAATTATATGAAGAATGTAGGTTAAGTGAACCAACCAAATTTTCTTATTTTCCTGATGTCAAATCTTTCTCTGTATCTTGGAATAGCACTGATCATCAGGAACGCAGAAAATTAAGTACATGGCAATAATTTATCCGGTAGCAAACGTTTAACTAGAGTGCCATCTGCTGGGTACTGACATTTTGAAGGAAATGGGATATATGTTCAAATCAAACGTGCTACTTAAATCACTAGATCATTAGTGCCATGTGGTCAGAGTGATCAAAATTCATATACAGTGATATTCAACATATGTTTAACAACAGATCATATGTTCCATGTTATAGAAGCCAGCAGTAAAAAGCAACCATGAGAAGCTAAACTGATTTATTCTAATCAACAGTGATCATCTGCTTAGGGTAAGCCTCTGCAATAACTATTTTTTGTATTGCAATTCTTTTTGCATTGTTTTTATCAAACACTTCTAGAAATGTAAGTCTCAATTTAAGAGTAATTATCATGCTTCACTAAAATATCTTGACTGAAATAGTTCCGTTCAACAGCTGAAATACTGTATTTGTTCATTAATGATGTCAGAGTGGTCTTCCAACACATTTAAACCCTGTGTTTACTGTAAATACTCACAATATAAATACCACACAGGTCAGTTAAGCATAAAGACATACTAATCTGCTTAACCATCTAATCCAGAAGACTGACTTCCATGAACGAGAACACTGTTCCTTATCTATGGATTTAAAATCTTTGACATCCCTGATTGGTGTCAATCAGGGTGCCAGAGATAGCAGCAATTTTGTGATGTGGATCTCCACTGTCTAAGAAATAGCCCCAAATTCATAACATATTTCATGGAGGAGACTGAAAAACAAAAAAAATCCAGATGCTAAAGTAGGCATCTGATTCTGACATTCTGGCATGGTTTTGCAGGATTACCTGGAAAATTAACATCTCTGTAACCTGTCTCCATCTCTCTGTGTTACTAGCAGAGTGGATGTGTTACTAGTAAAGACATTTTAAAATACAAACCATACTGAGAAGAAAAGAGAGCAAAAAAAGAATCATGGAATAATTTAGGTTGGAATGTATTCCAATCCTCCTGCACAAAGCAGGATCATCTCTAAAATTAGGTTCGATTGCTCATAATCATAACCCCACTGAACAATTATTTGCTATCAAAATGATCTGTGCTTTTAAAATGTCTTTGAACAAGAAAAAATAAGTGGTTAGCACAACAACAAGCTGGAAAAGCATTATAGATACATTCATTCTTATGCTATCCTTGCAAACCCTATTCTTGCAAAAAATCCTAGTTATGCGGCACCACAGCACTCCTAAGTTGCTGCAGGTAGGCAGTAATCACCTCTTACACCAGCTCTTAATGGTATACAATTAGTGTTTTCTGCCAGACTTCCATAAAACATGATTTGCAACACCTCCTGTTCCCTATTTCCCTTGAAGAGAGAAAAGGCTTCATAACTGAAGGCAGCAGTTAACAAAGCAGCTGAGAGAACAGTTACTCTTTCAGATATATTTTCCACATTTTTTTTCACCCTGTCCAGACACAATCTGATTCTTATTAACTCATAGCGTCTACTTTGAAACTTTTACCTTCTCCCTCTCCCATGAGGCAGGGAAGACCCAGCTTCCTCTATTTCTTTACAACACAAAATTATAAAGGTTTTAAGTAGAGAATTCCATTTCACACTACTGTTATACATCTCTGCTAGTGTGAAAGGTGGGAGGATCCTGGCAACAAAGTGGAAACAGAAAAAACCTCACAATGAAAGGAAAGAGTCACTCACCCTGTGATGCCCCCCTATGCAACCCGCTGATTCTTTTAGGTTAACAAAAGGCAGAAGCATGAGCTGAAAATCATACAGCTGTTTCAGATACAATACTCCCCTAACAGGCACTGAAAGCTGTCTGGGATATATTGTTCATATATCAAGAGGATATTTGAATTTTTTTTTTTCCCCAAGATAAATACAAGCAAGTCTTTATACAGGCAGAAGCTCAACTTGCTAATATCTGGAAATTACACTGCATTCAAGATTCAGAAGTGACCTATCAACTCTGCTGCTTTTGGGCTGATGGACTCTTTGCACAGGTGAACAAAATCACTTCACAGCAATTATTGAAGCCATTCTTGAATTAAAACAATAAAGACAAAAGAGAGAGTCAATAATAGAAGTAAAAAAGAGACATTCTTTTGGATTACTCATCAAATCTGCACATTTATCAATTAAGTACCTTTAAGCATAATTCAGATTACATACTACTGCTGAAGTTCTCAAAGACGACATATAAAATAGAAATACGCAAGAATTTGTTTAAATTACCAAAGTTAATCTGTAAGTTAATTTAAAAATATCTCTATAAATCAGATCGATTGAAGGTTTTTCTTCTTTATGTTCTGACAGAAAAGTGTACACCAATCTCTATGTCAAAAGGATAAGGAAGGAACGCATTAAAAATCTGAGTTTGTGCCTCTTCTCATAGTGTGCTCAACACTCAGAACTCACAAGAAACTGTCCATTTTTGTCATCACTTTAAAGAAAATGTTTTAGTCTTCTTAGATTATATCTGTTTTCAAAGAATGCCTCACTGCGAAGATTTACCACAACATTTTGAAAACCGCGCAAGTGGAGTAACCTGTCATGATTTGAAGCAGTATTTTCAGAGCTGTGTTATCTCCTGATAAACCTTGTTTGCTTTTGCCTTGTTAACAAAGTACATTACTGCACTACATCAACATAAGAATTCTGGAAGATTTTGGATAAAAAGGCCACTTTTCATGCTACACAGGTAGCTTTGAAGTCTAAAACATAAATAGAACATTGTGCCTTTGTAAATTAGCCTGTGAAACAGTGAAATCTGAATGGACAATCATATTAAGAACTGACAGTTTCAATAAGTAGCGTTTTTCAGTGTTGATAATGTTTTACGGATAGCCATTTGCAGTGCCAGATTTGGTAGTAGAAGAGGGGAGCAGTAGACAGGTAAAGGCTGGAGTATGAACTGTATACTAAACTCAGACCAAGGGACAAAGCAATTTCAGGACATACATTGTATCACAATTCAATCTAACAATTAGAATCCACTACACGAGTGGCTTTCTCTATGTGACTACAGATACATCAGAAATATCTATGAACATCAGATTTATCTACGAAGGTAAACGCAGCAAAGTTGTAACTATGTCAGAAAAGAAACACTTGACAGTGCAGATGATCAGCCTTTCAGAGGCCAGGTAAACAACCTACTCGCTTAAAGAGGACAGTGAAAGTCTAGAACTGTGCAAAATCTGCTACTTATTTCAGCTTATAAAGGAGCAATTAGCTGTGCCTTTCTGAGCAGTAAAGATGTTGGCAATCCAACCACTGCTGTAGTGACAGTTTGACAGAACTACCAATGTCTCTCTTCCCCTTCTTCAGAAATGTTGATTTGTCTGGCAAGAAGTTGTCATACTAAAAGGAGCACATACATTCCAACACGAAATGAGTAACAGCAAGATTCATACTTGTTTCCAGTATATTTTGCTTCATAAGGTAGCAAAAATCAAGTAAAAGCGCTTTTCACTAATAAAGCACAGAAGACGCTACAGTATCACTGAAATATTTTTTTGTCCAAGCACATGACTGCAATAAATACACCCATTTTAAAAAATTAGAACTTACCTTGTGTCACTGTTTTAAGCACAATTAAAGTTGACAGAAACCTCAAAGGCATACAGGAACTCTTAAAGAAAGCTGCAGACTTTGATTTACTCTCTGTAGAATGTTCAGAAGAACTATGTGGGTTTCCCTTGCTTACTATGCCTTTGAAAATATCTTCGCCAAGTCTCCTCATTGTTGATGTCATTGTTGCATGCTGTTTCAAAGAATGCATACAGTTAGTGTAAACATTAAAACACATTCAAATCCTGTGTACTATGTAGAGATACATACGTTCACCTAGGAATTAAATATTAAATAGCAAATGGTTTGACTATGTATTGGAATATAATCTGCATAGGAGATACTACTTTGTGTTCCAAAAGCAGCTGAACAACATCATCATGGCACCTTATCAACACATACTTCACAAAGAGACTAGTTAGCGAGGGTCCCTGCTACGCTGACATTATTTAAGTTGCCTCTCGTTCCAGAACAAGCTCAGCTTCAGTCAACTCTACTTCGTAAGGTTGCCTGAAGTTATATCCTGTAAAAGCATTTACAGAATCAAGATCTAAACATGAACCTTAAGAACACAATAGGTTTAAGACCTATTAGACTTTTTATCATAAAGTACACAGAAATATTACTTCAGAATCAAACTTCACATTATGCTTATTTAAGATATAGATTCTTATTAGCGCTAAACCCAACAGCCTACTATCTACTGAATTTAAACTCTAGCTATTTACAAAGTTTCCTACCTTTTGCTTTATCAAAAGCACTATTGACAGCATTAGGTACTATATTGAGCCTTCATAGTATGGCTACTGTCTTTTCCTCTATTTTACTGCTAAATATTTTCTTACAGCATACTAGTCAAAAGGAGTAAGTAATGTCTTGTGGTAAGACACTGAGCAGCAAACAGAAAAAACAAAATTCCTTTGCTGCTTTACCACACACTTTCATCAATTTCTCATGCATAAAGTGAACCTAAAAATACTGACTCTTTTAGTGCAAAAGTTTTGTAAATACACATGTAAAAATGTAATTTCTGAGATGCCTATACATCACAACAGTTATCACATACTTACGCAAACTATGTTTAGATACACAATACAAATTTAAAATTAACTTGAAAAAGAATTTGCCATGTATCCTTGGTAAACACTATGAATTTATGTTTTGCAAAGACAGCAGAGTTTCTTTCATATATACTACCTGAAAACATTCACTTTTCCTATGTATTGAAAACACAAAATCCATTAATATCTTCTGGGAATCTAGTTTCAAAAAAATCATACTGCAAGAGGACTACTTGTATTACCTGAATACCACTGTCTAGATGTCTTATAGACCAGTAAATAAATTTAATCACAGGCATGTGAAGTTTAGGATTCACCAATGGCATACACCGGAGTTGCTCAGCAACTATAGGCAAAAGCTGTAAAAATATACAAAAGTAAAATTACACGCAGTATTTGAACCTACTGTACATGCTAATCTTAAGTGAAAAAAAAACCAAAAAAACCTCCCAACTCTCTCCTGGAGTTTAACAGATTACGTATGCAAATACTCACTGGGCAGATCCAGTATAGGTAACAGAATTATACGCATACACAAATTTTAAATTTTACAGAGGTTTACATGCAAAAGTGGAGATACATCATGTGAGCTCGATCTCAGTAAATCAAATCCCAATGGCTGTAAATCTTTACTATAACGAATAAAAGCAGTAAAAGAAGATTTTCTGAACACCTCACTGATTTCCAGACCTTGGTATCCCCAGAGATAAAATAATAAAACTGTTAAAAGTGCAGCACAGTATCACCTTTTATCAGTCATAAATTGAAACTTTCGTATCTAACGTAGGCATCTAAGTATTTTGTATTAGACATGTTTATCTCCTTAGAAAATAAGGAATTATGTGCAGTATTACACATAAAACAAGACAAATTATCAACCGACAGAAGTGACCTGAAATAAAATGCTAAAACTCTCACAAGTTGAGACTGAACACCACACTTTTCCTTAAAAATGATCTGTATGCTTTATGAATGACAAGTCATCTATTATATCTCACTGCCAGAATTAATACTGACTTATTAACAGTGATTTTGTTTTTACTATTGTATCTAAAGCCTGTATAAAACAGGCTGATCTGTTATATTCTCAAAGTCATTAAAAAAACCCCCATAAATCCAAAAACATATCAACACAAGCAAACAATCTGAACCCCTTTACCTTCATACACCTTTCCTGGGTGCAGGTTTTTTTGGAGGTCTGGGTAACCAGAAGTTTGTGACTGTCTTCCCTTTCTTCTTGTAGCTTTATTTCGCTAAGATGCTGGTCTGAGACCCAATCCATAAGAGAAGTTACGAGCTCATAAACTTGTGAATTCAGTGGTAGCTGTAATACATCCACAAGAGCAGATATTTCAGCTTTCAAGTTAATGATTTTTCTAAGCCACAATAGTAACACACTGAAACATATGAGAGTACATTAGTTCTGAAATTTTATGCAGAATTTAAAGGATGATGAGCATATGCCTGATAAAATCTAGGAGGTAAGTTACCGTATTGGGAGCTTGTGGAAAATGTTATGTTTGAGGAAACGGTGATCTTGAACAGGCCACATGTGCTCTGTTTGGCCTTGTACCTTGGGTTTGAGAAGCCTGTATGTTATTAATATAATCTGTAACTTACAATATCACTGGGAAGGGAAAACTGTGTGTGGATCAAGGAGTGGATGATGGTGATCCTGACCCGGAGACCACCATACATCAAGCAGTCAGAGATCCACACCACAGTTAACCCGAGCAGGTGCAGCCTGTGCTGTGCTGCACTGATCAGTCAGCTGCAGAGTCTGTCCTGTGCTTGGCTGCATGATGAACTCGGCCACCTCTCCGTAACAGGAGCCTGCAGGCAGCTCCCACTTGGTACCAGTGATTATGCCTCCTGCCTGGCCTTGCCTTTGTCTAAAAAGGCAACAAGAACTTTTCCTGTGAACGTCCTTCATGGACAGAGTGGTTTTCTTGCAAGAAAATGATATCAGAGCTTGAATGGCTGAAAAGAAGGAGGTTCTCGCCATGGACAGGACATGGGCTCCATCTAATGCTGCATAAATGCAAGGTTCCCAGCATTTGAAGGGATGTAATATTTACTCACTACCTATATTTCTCCTTTCACTCTGCTTTATTAAAACAGTTATTTCATTAAACCATTTGTTGTCAGGCCTCTTACAGAGATCCAGAAAGAATCCTGCATCATTTCTCTCTCTCTCTCACACCTCGCTCCCCTCCCCACTGCAGAACAGGTACTACTTATGATGGTTTCTGAGAGTGAAAAAAAATGCACATAATTTCTGTTGTACTTAGACAAATGGTTACAAAAGGCCTGGGAAAAGACTTCCACATACAGAATCACTCCACTTTGTAATTCTGGCCAAATGAATTACAGGAGAAAGCAAATCTTTAATGTCCTTTGCATGTGGAAATTCTCATTTCAATGCACAAAATCTCCTTTGCTTTATTTCATACAATCCACTGTTATTAAAATATAACTGGACAGCCAGCATTGTTAAAAAAAGAACAAAGACTTCATGAAATTGTCATTCTGTCCCTGTACTACACTGCAATGAAATACTCTACGAAAGACACCCAGAGGTACCTGAAGACAGGTGGCACAAACAGTTCTCTAATGACTTCAAAAGTTTTCTTGTATCTACCTTCAGATAACTGCTTTCCTCTTCGCTCAGAACTATCACTACCGACACTGTTTATATTTCACTTGCAACCAAAGTACACTAAAACCTATGTAAACAGAGAAATACGTTGGCTATATATAGACAGCACAGTTCTCAGGCATCTGATGTACACCAATTAAGTAGGATGGTGCGAATATCTCTTTCCCATTTCACAGTTTAGGCTCTAGCTGGAGAAAATCATTAACAGTTGGGAGAAGTTGGTAGAGTACAACCAGAGGATTGCTACTAAACGAAACAACATGGAGACAGAAAGCATTTCATTAAGTGATGTACGAAGATATTTTAAGGAAAACAAGGTGATCATTTTGGAACTGCGTATAAACACTGCATTTATTTCTTTGCCTCATTTAAAGACTATTTCTCAGAAAAGAACCAGTAGTACAATCAACTCCTGACAAGATAAAAAAATCTTTATCTGATATCTCTGACTGCTTTATATCTTGTGTTATTCATAAGAACAGTGCCGTACTCTAGCAGTAACCAGAATGAGCTTAAGATTTGCTCTGAAACAGTGTAAGCAGGTTATCATTCTAATTGACAGATGAAAGATGACGTGACAGAAAGAGGAAAACACACCACATAAAAATACATGCATACACTATATACATACACAGTATGAAATCCAACTGACTTATTTTTAGCAACAAGCTTAATTCTTTGCTAACTGACTTTTCTCCCGGTATAATCTGTATCTTTTCTTAGTGCAACTAATTGACTCATAGCACAAATAAAATTGGAAGTTACATTTTCTAATTTCTAGTAGACACACAGAGAATGTTCCACTGTTTAATGTCTTTACAATGAATCTTTCATTTTGCCCAATTCTTACCTTAACATTTTTTGATGTTACCATCACTTTTTCCTGCTTGACAGGTTTACTTTGTTGCACGACTTGACATATATTCTTAGACTTCTGCACCATTAAAAATTCATGCTTCCTCTACAACAAAATGTAACAATGAATTATATTTCATTTGTTACCTATAAAGGAAGCAGGTACACGTAAGAACAAACCTTACTTGTAGATTCTCTAAACGAGCTTGTACTTTTCTTGCTTGGCCTTCTAACTTCTTGTTCAGCTCAGTTACATCACTTAACTGAAAGAATCAGAAAATGTTAAAGTATATCTGGATGAAAGCTTTCTTCTCTGCAGAATGAAACAGTTCCTGACCATGCTACAAAACCAGTTCACTCTGTTAGAAAAGATGAGGGAAACTGTAACCTTCATTTAGATATAAGAAACATGCTCTACACATACAACAATCAACAGCGTGATTTTCATTGAAGCCCTCAGTTTGCACAGAAAGGCAAAGGTTTTATATAGAAGAGAAATAAAGAGACAGATGGGTTGCACCAGAACCATCAACATTCTAGGATTTAGGTCTGATCTTCTCTAAAAGAAAGAATAACACTTTGATGTAGATTTTTATTGTACTCAGACTGTAAGAACTGTAATTGATTAACTGAAAAAACAATGGCGAAACAGTTTAGATAGCAATTTGTGTGTCAGCAGTTTAGGTCAGACTTAACAGTCAAGTGAGATGAAATTCTTATTCTCTGAATTACTATGAATCACTGTCTCAGGTTAAGAACTGAGAAAATACTGCCTTAATTAACATTTGTAAAAATAACTGAAAATACTGAGCAAGCACAAAGTTAGAAATACAGGTTCTTTCTATTTAACAGAATCAGCACAGCAATTCAGCACAGGGTGGATTCTATCATGTTGAAGAATGCTTTCTCTCCATCCACTCTCAGTTTGCTTCAGAGGACACGGATTTGCCCTTCCGAGCAATTAGCTGTTGCTAGTGAGTCAGTGGAGTAAGGCCAACTTTTTTTATGCTGTAAAACATCAGAGAGGCTAAATTTCAAGTACTAGAAAAAGGTGTGGAAAGTACTTTCAGTCGTTCATACAATTCTTATCTTACAGAAATAAAAAAATCAGCAGTTTTGTAAACTTCAGCTGTTCAAATATTTTAAACTGTTAATTGTAGCTTGTAAAATTATTGATAACAGGAAAGAAACTAATTTTACCTGTTTTCTTAAAGAGTCATTCATTTCCTTCAAGGTGTCAAATGACGACTTCAGCCTTCTATTTTCTTTAGTTATTTCCCTCAAAGCTTCCGTCAGCTGTTTAACTTCTGCCTCATGTTGCTATAGAAACATCAAATTTTAAAACATGATTTACAAGAGACTATTTGAGAAACAATTCTAAGCTAAGTTCCATTTTAGTGTTAAAATAATAGAAGAAACTTTCAAAGATCAAGTTTGTAATCCTGCATGGCCAAATTTGCATGTTCAACCAGTAGTGAGAAAAACAACATCCACACTGCATATTAAGAAGAATCTATAAAGAAACTGAGAGCAACGGCCACGGCCAATGGCTCTTATTCTTTCCAGATTCTACACAAAAGAGATTACATCAATACGTACATTTCTCAGACAAGGCAAATGTGGGAAAGGTTTGTGAACTAAAACCAATGACAAAGCTTTTATTTACATCTTATTTTTCCATATAATTGCAAAAAAATACGATTCTGTTTTGCAGCAACTTTTGAGGTTTCGACTGGTTTTTCTGGCTTTCCTCACTCTGAATGATGCAGAGCAAGAAATGAATCCTTTATCTCCTAGGCTAGTGCTCTGGTTTTCACCGCAAGTATATGAACTGCTAACTACAACCTGCATATCCACTGCTATTCTTATTCTTCTGAATCTTATTTTAGATTTAATCTTCTCTGGACACCAATGCATCTGGTAGTAGAAGTTTAAAGGAAGCAAGCCCTAAAGAGATCCTTCTCCATTATGAGTCCCCTCCAACTTCACATATTCTATGATTCTAAGATTTTATATTTCTGCTGAGAAGCACAGTAACTTCCATTCCAGCCACACAGAGAAAAAAAACATCTGTAACATCTTTATTCTCAGCTATTGCTCTTTTTCAGTCAACAGGATGAAAACAGCTGTGGGCAAGACATTCTTGTCTAAAGCACCTATCCACACTTGGCTAAGCCGACATGAAATGACAGATCCTCTTTTCATACCAATAATTATATGTTGACAGTGTCTGCATGTTTAAATGCACCTTATCACATCACTTGGAATGTTTCATTTCCACTTTCTATACACACAGTTAAGAGCTTTATTTGAAGTTCAATAGCTGCTCTAGGAAGAATCAGTAGAGAATTATTAACCTGAAAGGTAAGTAGAACCAATCCAGTTGTTAAGTCGTGGGGTTGTAGGTGGTGCCAGGATGTCTAAGCCAGCCAGTTCCATAAGCAAATCAGGCAATGTCATCCATATCATAACCAGCTATGTCATTTCACTCCTGCTGGAGTGAAGGCAAACTCCTGTTTGCCTAGTCTATTCTGAAGTGCTCCAATACTGCAAACACTGCAGTCTTACCAATCTACCTGTCCCTATGCTCAACTACCTCTGTTTAGATCTAGTTTTTCCTAATACTTAATCTAATTTTCCCTTATTCCTACTACTTCTTCTCCTATCGCAGACATGAAAAAAAACCTAATTTCTTCCTCTTTTCTGCAGCCTTTTCTGTAGCTGAAGCTTGACACTTTCACCCTCAATTCATCCTGTATGTTGAACCCATGCATCCGCTCACCATTCCCTATTACTGCAGCTGATATTTCTATTCAAGTGCAATACTGTACACTCACACCTTAGGAATAGTATAATGGCTTTTTTCAAATCTACCATATCTTCAATTTGTCAAGATCAATTTTAATCTTAATGTTCTTTTTCAGTATGCTTGAAATTCCCCCTCACCTGCTATTTTCTTCAAATTTAATAAATGTGCTCTTTCTCACCATCCAGCTTCTTACTGAAAATACTGAATAATACTGGGCTGAAAAGACATTCCAGAATCCACTATATACATACCTTTAACTTCACTGCGAACTACTGTCTCACTAGAGCTTTACACCAACTGCATTACATCTGTTATGCTTTCCCAATACAATTATGAAAATGCCACACAAACCTGTCTAAAAAATTTCCAATTAAGTCCAGACATATATATAACTACCACTCCTCTATCAGCAATGACCATTACCTTGCTGTAGTGGAAACAAGACTGATTTGACAACTGATAATTAACACACGCTAGTAGCTCTTTATTGCACTGTTTCCTGCATTCTGCTTCCTCTGGTTTCTTCATAGCTTGTTTCAGGATTTATTTATTTATTTATTTATTGTGAGAACTAACATTAAGTTGATGGCTGTACAACTCTCCTTTTTGAAAACAAAGGCACCACCACAAATTTTCACAGATATCCACTGATTTTTCTCTAACTGGTGTAACACTACTAAAGCCGAGAAGATTTGAAACATCTAAATTAACGCCTTAACCTATTCCTTCTCTGTTCAAAAGTTGAGGTCCTGCTCCTCTGACACCCTTTACCTTTTTAATGTCGTCTATCCTCCCTCAACAGCTTATGGGAAAGATTTATCTGCGTAATTGAAAGAAATTTAATTTCTCAGCTTATGTTTTTGACAGTAAGTACACATATTTAAGGACTTCTCTTGGTGATCTTCTGGAATATAACCAAAACTTTTCACCAGACCTAAATTCAACAGCAAATACTCACAAGCACAGCACTGTTGAACACACTTTTCCGTTGCTGAAATCATATCATTTCATTTCCACCCACACCTCCAAAGTTAGGTTGATCATTTCTTTCTCTGAACTTTTTGAGTGTTTTTCTGCTAATTCTCTGTACAGTAGTTATTATGTCATAAGACCTCATTGTGTCTTAAAGCCTTCCCAAGGAAATCTGCTTCAACTACAGCTAATGCAAAGATACTCATTTAGGTTACACACAATTACAGATAGACCACAATTTTTCTCTAATACCGGTCATATCGTTTTTGCTGTTTTAGAAATAAGTTACCTTTCTTTTCTAAACTGTAACAATAAAATGTACCTACACATCAGACAACAAAATACAGCATTCTGAAACAGAAGCCATACAAAAACCCTATTGATATTGTTCCGTACTTTTTCTGTAAGCCTTTCATTTGGGGATTTCAAGCACTTTAAAGAAATAAGCATCATATCCAGCAAATACACAATGACTTAAGATAACTACAAACAAGTTAAATGGCATGTAGAGCAATAAACATCATTAAATACATTACTGTACCTCTTTTATAATTCCAAATTTTGTGTGAACTTCTTCCTCCACACCTCTTATTTTAGCCAAAGCTGCTTCATGTCTAAAAAGCAACGCTTCTCGCTCTGTTAGAAAGTGCTCTCGTTTCCGGAGTTGCAGAGCATACTCCTGCTGTGCTGAACTTTCTCTCTGTATCAAGAAACAAATGTTGAAACAGTTTTAAAATCTATGAAATTATCACAATTTATACCCCATTTGAATTTTCTCTCCCAGAGATATGCTTAGCTTTCTGTAAAATATACAGTGTTGGACAACAGCCTAGTAATTAAAAGTATCCTGATGGACATCTATGTTCAGTTTGCCCATACAGTAACCCAAATGACTTCAACGTGTGGCAGGATGGCTCAGCCTCCCAAAATTCAAAATTCAACTCTATACGGTTGCTCAAGTATAAACCTAGACAGTTAAACTCAGGCTTTTGCTTCCAAAAGTTTTGTATCATGATATTAACTGTAAGACAAAACAGAGCCTGATGCAACTGTCTATCCTGAACACTAGGTTACCATATTGTTTCTTCAATTAGTGGGAAGCATCCCTGAAAAAGTGGCGAGGAAAAGAAGAGATACAAACCTATTTTTGCAAAAGACAGAACCTAGGACGTCCTCCTGTTAGTGGCCTAGGCCTCCTAGGGGATGAACTTTTGGGATTCCCCAGCAGCAGAAAAGTCAATATAAGGCAGAACAGAGGTTTTTCGCAGCAGGCCATGAAGGCAAGCACTCTTGAATGCCTAGAGCCAGGAGAATAGTTTCAGATGCTCTCAGGAGAAGCAACGGTTGCAGGCGTTTCCCTCCAGGCCCACAGTGGGTCACAGGACACTCCTCTCAGATGTAGCAGCACTGTGTTCAAACTCACTCAAACCGAATTTTATCTGATCTATCCACTATGCAAGTCAAAGCACCATTACCAAATCAGTGAATTAATTTCGGGGAATGACGACAGAGTTTTAGTATGTAAGTAATTGTGATCAGTGTAAATAATAGTAACAGGTAATATTTTTAGTATATAAGTAATTAAGTTTTAGTATATAGGTAATAGTGATTCAGTACATAAGTAATTTCTGAATTCTCTGTCAAAAGTGAGAATCTTCACAACCTTACTCAACAAAATTTTTAAGGCAATTCCAGTTCCTACCTGGAGCTTCTGATGTATGACAAATAATTCATCATAAATTTGACTGATGTGAGCCGGTATTATGCCTCGAATATTGCACGCTTGAGCATCAGTTCCACTCACAATCTTCCTTACCAAACCATTAGTAATATTTTGGTCACTATTTTCTCGTGTATTTGCAGCCAAATGGGATAGTAAGGTGCTGCCTATGGAAAGGAAAAACCCATTCTACATTAAAAAATCAGTCCCAGGTAAATAATGACATGACTGTTGTTCCAAAAGAGCAAAAACTTATTTTAGGCATTTAGAGTGACAAGCATAGAGCAAGACGTATCAAAATGAGAAAGTAATCTCCTAAAGAATTATGGAGAATTGTGCAAAGCCGTGTTGCATGACTTGTTTGAATCGATCAGCGATCTTTGAAGATTTATTCGTAAAACTATGTCCTCCACTTCAATATAGGAATCCCATAGATACCTGTATTAAATCTATGCTCAGACTGAATCATAGTGTAATCAAAATCTCCTATTATTTTTATAAGGGCTTCAGGCAAGTGGTTCACTGCTGACTAGACCCTGGCCTGACATGTACATTAACAGAACAAGACCTAAGAAACTACTGGACATGACATGAGAAAGTGCTAGACATGACAGATTATAGCATAGGAAGCTGATGAAAGTTGCAGACAGCACAGTGAGGAATGGCTGGATTTCACAGTCAAATGGCCGAAATTCACAGATAATTGAGTAAAGATTACCTAGGTGACAGTATCAGAAATACAAGTTTGGGCACAAGTTCAAGGCCAGGCTGGATGGGGCTTTGAACACCCTGGTCTAGTGGAAGGTGTCCCTGCCCATGGCAGGGTGTTTGGAACTAACTGATCTTTAAGGTCGCTTTCAATAATTCTATATTGTGCTGGTTTTGGCTGGGGTAGACTTAATTTTCTTCACAGCAGCTTGTATGATGCTATGTTTTGGATTTGTGACCAAAACAGTGTTAACACAGGGATGTTTTTGCTGTTCCTGAGCAGTGCTTACACAGCATCAAGGCCTTTTCTGTTTCTCATGCTGCCCCGCCAGCGAGCAGGCTGGGGTCCACAAGAAATTGGGAGGGGACCCAGCCAGCACAGGTGACCCTAGCCAACCAGGGGGATATTCCGCACCGTATGATGTTGTGCTCAGCAATAAAAGCTGGGGAAGAAAGAGGAAGGGGGGACTTTCAGAGTTGTGGCATTTGTTTTCTCAAGTAACCATGACACTTGATGGAACCCTGCTTTGCTGGAGACGGCTGAACACCAGCCTGCCAATAAGCAGCAGTGAATGAATTCCTTATTTTGCCTCACTTGCACACGCAGCTTTTGCTACACCTCTTCAAGTGCATTTATCTCAATTCACGACTTTTCTCACTTTTACGCTTTTGATTCTCTCCCTTTGTACTGCAGGTGGGAGAGTGAGCAAGCAGCTGCATGGGGCTAAGCTGCCTGTTGGGGTTAAAACCACAATGGGACAGACGTGGCAACATTCAGACCAATGAGGAAAAAGTCGTTAGAGATAAGCTGTTTATTTGTCAGGCAACTGGGGAAAAGAAAAGAAGGAGCAGGACAAGAAACCAAACTTGCTGTTCTGCCACGGTGTGTCTGCTTCGGGGTGAGGAATGAGAGCATTACTAGTACAGTGCCACATAAATCGTAACAGAAAAGAAAGGGAGAAAAACAAAAAAAACAGAAAAAAGTAGCCATATCTGAAACAAACAGGTGTGATATTTACCAGAGTTCTGTATTTATTTTGCCTTTGACCCCAAAATACTCTACACTACGCATTTTTCCTGGTGCAATTAAATTCTTTTTTGTCTTTTCTGAAAGAATGTATTTTCAGAAAGCTGTTCTTATACTCTCCCCACTCGTTTAACACAACTCTTGGTGAGAGTCTATTACAGCTCTATTGATCTGTTCTGCCTCGAATTTGAGATTTGTTTTAGCCACTTTGAAGTTGGTTGGCTGGCTGGCTGTCTCCACGCTTCCAGATACACTTTCAGAAGAATACATCAATGTTTTCCTACACCCAAAACTCTCCACAAGAGACAGAGCTACACTGATTTGCAAACTTGTCCAATTGTGGCAGCATTTTCAAACATTTGCAGTGAATTAACCCCAGCTGGTCCCTGCTACAATCTTCCAGTCAGAATTTCCTGAGTTAACTGAACAACAGATAACACCCTCTCTCCACCCATTGCCAGATTTCAATGCTTCAACTGACAAAAGACATCTGATTTAACAGAGTTGTAGTACTTCTTTATGCAGCTGGCTATCTAAAATAAAACAAAACAAACAAACCAAAACACACCCTGTTTCTTCATTCATATTATAAAATCACCTGGCAACCATGTTCTTAAAAGGTTGATTTTTCTTTTTAAAAATGTATGTTAGTATTACATCAAGTATGTCTGGACCTCCAAAACTAATTCTAAAGGAGTTACTCATATTTACACAAAAGGTTAAATCCTCAAATTAAAATATATTTTAGCTGATTATTGTATTTCAGCACTGAATAGAAACACTTACTAGAAAGTTTTTTAAATTACATGTTATACTTCACACAGAGTTGCAAATATATTTAAAATTCAGTATTTACTACCTGTTTCCACATATATATCTGTATTTTGAACCGCATCAGTTTCAGAGCAATTAATGGTCTTTTCTTCTATTTCTAGACCACTCGAATCACAAAAAGAATCTTGCGCACCATCAAAACTAAATAAATACAAAAAAGCAATAATTTGAAATTACTCAGTCCCTTTCTAACATACTACATATAAAGCATTGAGAAAAGTTTGTATAAAAATGTAAACAGTGCTCAATCTAAGATTTTTATATCTCACTGATAATAAACAGCAGAGTTAAATCATTTGGATGGAAGGCATTATTACTCACAAGATTTTAACCACAACAATTATTAACGTTGCTGATTTAAAAGTAGTAACAGTAATGAGAATTCTCATGCTGTAAGCACATGTATGCAGCAGGTAAAACCAACACTCTCCTCTCACAATCAATCACCAAATTCCAGGAAAGCTAAAAATACAAACCACCTTTTTTCATTATTCATGTTTGGTGTAAAGTAGCCCTGAAAAGAGATTTCTTGTCTTTTGGAATCAAGTTATCTCTCATGAAACTTAAATCTCTTCATTAGTCTGAGCTATTTGCTTTCCTCTTAGTTTAGTTTACATCACCAGTTCAGTTTATATCATCCCTGTGTCCCATTAGCAATTCCAACATATACAGATTAGAAAGTGAGCGAGACAATACTCCTCATCAAAATCAGCATTCACATTATTTCATACATCAACCACAAACAGTTCTTAACGAGAAAACAAGAATCTTAAAACGACTTCTGGATCTGTGCAATCTGAACATATTGTTTACTTACGGCTCATCTGGATTATGAGAGAGAATAAATGATAAAGAAGAGCTGAAAAGAAAACACCTCCTACCGATCCCAGTCTTTAAAACTTTGTAGGAAATCACTAGAAGATCTTCCACTTTCAGTAAATTCTGACTCTAAAGAACATTTGGATAAAGAAATAGTTGTATTTTCCAGTGAACTGTCCATGTCACCTGGAATACATAAAATAATTTTATTATGCATTTGAGAAACTGACATTAAGAAACCAACAAAGGCATATTAGAAATGCTTGCTATCGTGCATGTTTAAGAACTAAAACAAACAGACACAGCCTGACAAATGAAGAATTGTAATGGCTTAAACTATAGCAAGAATTACTGTTTTCAGACTAGATTTGTTTTTCTGAAGTTTTACAGCTTACCTCCTTATATTATTTTTTCTGTAATTGAAGTTTGGTAAATACATTGTTCTACCTTGCTGTCCACATGCACCAGCAACGTGTTTCTCAAGAAGCCCAAAGACATTCTAAATATTAAATGCACACATATCTTTAAATTAAAGCCAAATGTACACATTATGAGGTGGACTGCTACCAACTACTGCAAGCAGGACTTAAACACAAACAGGTTGGGAATCATTGTTCTAAAGCATCCTTTGTGCTCTTCATGTGAATGTTAACATTCCCAGGCTGGCTGCCAGATACCACAAACCCCTGATCAAGATGTCTACCTATTTAAAATGAGAAAATACAAACCTATTGAAAACAAATTTAGGAATGATACAATTTGAGTATAGATTTTCCCTGAAAAAGACATGAAAGCACCATTATTTGGTATTACCTTTGTATACTATGGAGCTTCCATTCTTATATTTGGTGTGTAATAGTCCTGAAAGGCAAACCTACAAGAAAGCACGCCACCACTGTCATATAGTCAGAATTTTCAGAGAAAGTGTATGCTGCAGCTTACTTGTTTAACAGTTACAAGGCCTTGTGACAGAACTTACTACAAACTTTGAAAAGGGAAGCGGTTTCTTTTAATTTATAAATGTCAATGGCCCTCATATTAACATAAAGAGGCAAACATATTCCCCACAGTCTAATAATTCATGGTGTTATATGTTAAAATATTTTAAAGACTACAAGACACTAAGAAGACAGGGATGTAAAATAAGGGCATAAAAGTAGGATGAGGTAATCACAGAAACAGCCCCATCTGTCTTTACCTCTAGGCTTTTTATGCCAGTTTCCTGCTCTGCTGTTTCCTACTAACTTCTAACTACATGCTAAGAAAAACAAATGTTAGATGTATTAGGCTACAAGCTAAATCAATTAAAGAAAAGACCAGACTCAAAGCAGCTCTCACAGATCTTAGATGTGTTTCACTGCGTCTCTATGCTCTAAACGGAGTGATCGACTGCTGTATTTTCTTGTACTTAAATACTGATTTTTAATGAAATAAGAAGCACAAACAAATCTAGCATTTCCTTCCTTGCAAGCATTACACTTTAAAGTCTCAGTAACAGTTTTTTAAAGATAGTTTTTGAAAATTATTTTTCTTTAAAGAACAGTTCTGTAATTCAAAGCAGAATATCCCTCAAGAAAAACCGCACATAGAGCACCACAAAATGCCACCTGAGTTGAAAATCCTTCTGCAGGAACTAAGGGCAGACACCTCCAGATTTTAGCTGCTACAGAACTCAAATCTGTACCTCATATTTGGGACGGTTCCTGATCCTAAAATGGCAGGTCACATCTCCTTGGAAAAAAAGGCTGGTTTCTGCACTCATTTGATGATTCCCAGGACCGACTAGATCTTCCAATCCCACTATGTGTCTAGCCCAAATCCAGCTTTCAATCTCTCCCAATCTTTGGCTGCACACAGGTATTTTTACAACACATTACTTCCCTTGCAGCGTAAGTTTGAACATTTAAGGTCTGTTATCCCCTGGGCACACTGGAAGCATTTAACCCATGAAATACAGATGCAAGAAAGCAACTGCAAAAACTTGTCTCAGTGAAAGACAAACAGGCTTGAGATAAAATAAAGTCTAGCTACCCAGTGAGTACTCCTTCTACAAAGCGTCAAAGACTTTTGAAACACCAGCATGTGAGTGTCTGTGGAGGGTTCTTTGCTCCTGGATTTTTAGGCAGATCAGTTTCCTAACCAACTGTGCAGACCCATAAATGCTTACGGTCAGTGCAAGTAACGGAAACAGAGGAAGCACAATCCAGTTCCTTTGTTCATATCGGTGCAAAGAACTTGGCATTCTCTGGTGTAAAATAGCACTGCTTTACCTCGGCAAGGGAATGACACCCATCATAATTTACTGTCTGGTCACTGTGGCAGTCTCTTACGAACTACGGGTTTGATTCTCTGGTTTAGATCTGAAACAATTTCCTGCTCCCTAAAAACAGAGCTAATCACTAGGCTCTACAAAAAATCACAAACACTCCCAACGCACTGTAAATAAGGCTAGCAACTGCTGCAGCAAAGAAGGTACGAAAGAAATGAGTTCTCCTATTGTAGGTATTTCATACGTGGCGAGTATGCTACTCCTAAGAGGATTCACATATTCTCTTGCCCAGCTGTCCGGCACCAGCAGGGTTTAGGCAAAGACTAAGCGCCAAGCCACTCGGACTGTACGCTGGGAAGGCGTGCGACTCGGAACCGCAAATTCCCGGGAAATTCCAAGTTCAGACTCTTGGCACTTGCACCGTAACGCAGAGCAGGGGGGCAGGGGCAGGACTGGGAAGAGCGCACTTCACACATCAGGCTCCCAAAGCCTGTTTAACACCCGGCTTTGGCTCCCACACCGCACGCGAACGTAACGCCGCAGAGCCTACAACAAGCCCCAAGGGACCCCGGC